AAATATGCCGAAATAAAAAAATAATAATATGTAAATTATGTTCAGTTATCTTATCTCCATCAAAAAGGTCGATATACGAATGTATTATATATGTACATGTATGTACATATATGTATATATATATATATATATATATATATATATATGTATGTATACTACTCGACCATTAATCATACCCGTAAATCCGTACATACATACTATTAAAACTTGCTATAATTTATATCGAACTATATAACTAATATGGTGGAATTCTTATATAAAACTAATCATCAAAAATTGATAATATATTATTTAATAATAATTATTAATGTAATATACAGTTTTTGAAATATAATTTTTTTTATAATAAAAATCGATATATTTTGAATTCATCAAATTCAAAAGCATTAAATAAAGACATCTTAAAATAATGTATAAAAAAAAATAAAAATAAGGATAAAAAATAGGAAACAAAAGAGATCGGTTATAACGATTATATATATGAACACGAAAATACATTATTATTGAAAAAGAAATCTTTTCAAAAATTAAAAAATTTATTTTAAAAAATCATAAAAGGATAGAAACGAACGGTAAAAGATAAAAGAAAAGAAAGAAAGAGTAGAAAGAAAAAGAATATATAAAAAATAAATACAGATTCTGAAGATCATTCGTATATATTCGTATACAACTACAGCACGCTGTAACGGGGCGAACGAGAAACGAGGAAAAAGAAAGAGGGGAAGAAACGAACTCTCACAACGAAGAGGGGAAAGCGAGGGGAGAGAAAATCAGTATGAGTGGGGAGGAATGAGGAGAACTGACGAATCGCGTGAAAGAAGAAGCATACAGCAGTAGGTGCACATCGGTGCACGTACAAGACGAAGTGACGGCACGCCGAAACTAAAACGCGGAGAGCGTTGAGGTACAAACATTTAATGTCGCATTTCCGTACTGTTTTTCTACAGTGAACATCTTGATTAGTGAGTGATTAAATTCAGCTCAGTGTTTTTCGAGTGTATAGTTTGTTGCGATACTAGAGAATGGCATCCGATGAGGAGGTAGATGAAAGCTACGCGGGTAAGTGCAAAAAGGGATACTCTCAATCATGAATGCTACCGGAAAGTTATATCCTCGAACACGCAGGACGCGCGCTTTTCGTACGATGGCTGCCATGTCAATTGATCCTTCTATGGTTTTCCACACGCTATCTTATTATTTTGCATTTCATTATAATTTCTTGTATGTTTTTATTTGATTCAATGGCAGGTTAATCGTCACAGAAAAAAATTATCAAATTCCTATTTGCTAAAATTTGTTTGTTTTTTCTCAAGAAAGAAAGAAGTAACCTTTGAATTGTCAAATAATTCTATGATCATTTAACGATACTTTATTTAGAAATTTAATGCTTCTTTTGCAATCACAATGCATTTAATCATCATGTAAATCCAAAACAAAATAATCAGGTATAGGTTATTGTTTACATTCAATAGTTATATAGAAATCACATGGCTTTTTGAATTTCTTTTATTTTTGTAGCTACAAAGTTTTCAGTACAAAATATCTAGTACAATTTTATTGAGATCTTTACAATAATTATATACATTCTAGATTGACATTACGACTTAATATATTAATTTCAACAATTGAATTTTTATTTAATATCGGATATTTTCAATTATTTTCAATACACTCTTTATATAATTCATATTTAATAATCTCTCAGTAAATTTTACTTTATAAAATTAACCCTATTTGATTTTCTTTATTTTCAATTCGAAACATTAAAAGGCTTGCGTTGTTTTATCGCATAAAGATGCACTATGATCTGCTTCAATCGCGAAAATAATAATAAAGTAATTTTATTTATTGTGTATATTTCGATTTTGATAATTTTTGTTTAAAATTTTATTTCTTTGTAAAGAAATTTTTTTTTAAAAAAAGATAGAAAATACCGATTATAATTTCTAGTAGAATTTTTAAATAATTTTGTAATATGTATAGTTTTCTAACCATCTGGTATATCTGTATATGTATCTATTATATACACATTATTAATCGCAATATATAAGCAACCGGTGCGAGTTTTTTGAAAACTTATGTTTCACTGGATTTATTAAAAATTTGAGACATAAATCATGACTATAGCTTCATTTTCAATTTTTTCTATATGATTAAAAATGAATTTAGAATTAAAAATATTATGAATATAAAATATAGACACATACATTTAATGTGGTGAGCCCTTTCAAAGAAAATGGCGGACGCACGACAAAGCATTCATCGAATGTGGATTAATCTAAAATAATTTATGAATTTTAATTGTTAACTTAAGCTTCATGTTCATTTTCAAATAATACTTATATTTGTACGCATATTTATTTTTTTATAGAAATATTATATTTGTATTGATTTTTGATCATTTTGATTGCATTAAAAAAATAAAAAAATCAGTTTATTATAAAACATTACTATCGATTTGGCAATTATCAGTCCGTCATCATTTCACAAGTCGGAACATTTCGTCCAATAACATTTGTTTGAATTGTTGCCCTCTCTTATATTTTCTTAAGCATTTTATGTTAAAATTTTAGCAATTAATAAATTTTCTTTCGAAATTTTTTTATTAACTAAAAATTTAAATTTATAATATATATATATTAAATTTATAGAATTTTAAAAAAAACGAATAATAAAATATTTATCTTTTTCATATTATCGTAATACTATGATAGAAAATTTTTCCAACAGTTTGACGTGAAATATTTATATACATATAATTATAAATTATATAAGATGCTATTGAATTTTTTTTTTAGAAAATAATATATTGTTAATTTGTAATAAATAATAATATTATTGGCAAATCATAAAATTTTTAAAAATTATTGATTCATATAATTAATTTTATTGAAAATATATATATATATATATACATATATATACATATATACATTGACTATTCTTAAGCCTATATTATAATGAAACAGATATTGATTTTATGTAAGTCAGAGATAGCCAATGAAAATTTAGCTTAATATCAATTATACATTAAATTACATTAAAAATTACATTAAAAAAATAAAAGTATTATAAAACATAAATAATGTACTTGCATGAAATATCATTTTTTATAATTATTGATAATTATATTTTATTTTTTATAAAAATATCTTTTTAATATATTGAACTTTTAGGAGAAGATGATTTAGATGAAACTGGAGGTCAAGTTTCAAATGTTAATCAACAAGTGGATGGTTCATCTGATGCAGAAGAATCTCAAAGACTAGTTAGTATCTGATATATAGATTGTTTTTTAAAAATGTTGTATTATTTAAAAAATATTTCTTTTTTATATAGGAAGAAGATGATGATTATGAACCAGAGGAAAGAAAAAAAAAGAAAGGGAAAAAACGAAAAGCACGTAGTGAAGATAAGAAGGGGAAGAAAAAAAAGAAAAAGAAAAAATCTGATTCTGGAGATGTAATTATTTTTATCTTATCTTCATAAATATGATTACTTTATTTATATAAATGTTTACATCATATTTAGGAAAGTGATTTTGGAGGTGGTGAAACTGGTGATATAGCTGGAGATGATAGTGACTATGCAGGAAATAGAAAAAGTAGAAAGTCTTCTTCCAGGAAATCATCTAGTCATAATGCATCAGCTCCACCTAGCCAAGAACCTACAACTGGAATGCCTACAATTGAAGAAGTCTGTAACACATTTGGATTGACAGATGTACAAATTGAATATACTGATGCAGACTTCCAGAATTTAACTACCTATAAATTATTTCAACAACATGTTAGACCACTTCTAGCAAAGGAGAATCCAAAAGTAAATCCATTTCTAACAAATCCAAATTATTATATTTTTTCCAACAATTTATTTGTCTTTAATAAGTTATTTATTTATTTATAATAAGTTATTTTATATAATAAGTTTATTATTTATTTTTAGGTTCCAATGTCAAAGCTTATGATGTTAGTAGCTGCTAAATGGCGTGATTTTTCTGAATTAAATCCTCATACTCAACCAGATACAGATGTATCATCAGCAAATGTAGATGAGGATAGTAGAAATGCAAGAGCAAATCGTAGTGGTGCAGTCCAGGAAGGTGAAGATGAAGAAGAAGATGATGAAGATAGCGATAGAAAACGAAAATCACGAGGATCTAGAGCAAAAAAAGGAAAAAAAGCTTCTAAAGTACCAACACTTAAAATCAAACTTGGAAAACGTAAACGGGGAAGTTCGGATGAAGAAGCAGAAGGTAGTGGTGTTGGTACTGACAGAGATTCAGACATGGAATTTGAGCAGATGTTAGCAGATGCAGAGGAACCTGTTGGTGCAGATGGGACAAATAAAGGAAATACAGAAGAAAGCGGAATTGAACCACCGGCAGAACCACCTGTTCGCAGGAAGGCAAAAACCAAAATCGGAAATAAAACTAAAAAGAAGAAGAAAACAAAAACTACATCAAAGTTTCCAGATGGAGAAGAAGGTCTTCAGGTATAATTAGACTCTCTTTGATTAATAATCATGTTTTTTGTGTTGAAATATATAAAATATTTTTTATATTTACATTTCTTTTATGTAGACTGATCATCAGGATTATTGCGAAGTATGTCAACAAGGTGGAGAAATTATTCTTTGTGACACATGTCCTAGAGCTTATCACTTGGTATGTTTAGAACCTGAATTAGAAGAAACCCCTGAAGGAAAATGGAGTTGTCCTCACTGTGAAGGAGAAGGTATTGCAGGTAGCTTCCCGTAACCCTAAACCTTCTATCCTTTCCCAACATGCTTATGTGTATTTGATTAATAAAACAAATTGTAATTTATATTATTAATTTTTTTTCAGGTGCAGCAGAAGATGATGATGAGCATATGGAATTTTGTAGAATATGTAAAGATGGTGGTGAATTACTATGTTGTGATAGCTGTACTAGTGCTTATCATACACATTGTTTGAATCCACCACTTTCAGAAATTCCTGATGGTGATTGGAAGTGTCCTAGATGTTCTTGTCCACCTATACGTGGAAAAGGTATTTTAAAAAAAAGTTATGTATTATATATATTTAATTAATATTTAATTTCTTATATAATAGTTGCAAAGATCTTAACATGGAGATGGAAGGATTGCCCAGAAACACCTTCTGAAGAACCTTCAACGAGTAAAGCTACTCCCAAACAACGTAGAATGCGCGAATTCTTTGTGAAATGGGCAGATATGTCCTATTGGCATTGTGATTGGATTACAGAATTACAGCTTGATGTTTTCCATCCTCTTATGTTTAGGTATGTATACAATAGATTTAATTTTTTTTATTGATAATTTTTTTTAATTTTATTATTGTTAGAAATTATTCACGAAAATATGATATGGATGAACCACCAAAATTGGAAGAACCATTGGATGAAAGCGATTCTCGTGTAAAACGATTGAAAGAACAGGACGGTGCTACTAATAGAGATGAATACAATTTAGAAGAACGATTTTATCGTTATGGAGTTCGTCCAGAATGGCTTGTAGTACATAGAGTAATCAATCATAGACTTTCGAGAGATGGTAGAGCAACATATCTTGTTAAATGGAGAGAATTAGGATATGATCAGGCAACGTGGGAAGACGAGCATGAAGATATTCCTGGATTAAAACAGGCTATTGAATATTATTTGGATCTCAGAGCAGCAAATTGTTGTGATGGTAGTTCTTCACGCAAGGGCAAGAAGGGTGAGAAGAGTCGGTTAATTCATTTTTTCTTTTTGTAATCAAATGTTATGAACTGTAAAATTATATTTTTTATTATATTCAGGTAAAGGCAAGAAATCGAAGACTCGTGAACTTATTGATGACGAAGAAAGAACGCCCAAAAGATACACTCCTCCACCTGATAAACCTACTACAGATCTCAAGAAAAAATATGAACGACAGCCAGAATATTTAGATCAGACTGGAATGCAATTACATCCTTATCAGCTAGAAGTATATACTTTATCACAATATTTATACCAATTATTTATTTTTTAATTTCATAATTTCATAGGGTTTAAATTGGTTAAGATATTCATGGGGCCAAGGCATAGACACTATTTTAGCAGACGAAATGGGTCTGGGAAAAACTATTCAAACTATTACATTTCTCTATTCTTTGTACAAAGAAGGACATTGTAAAGGACCATTTCTGGTATCTGTTCCCCTATCAACTATCATTAATTGGGAACGTGAATTTGAAACTTGGGCACCTGATTTTTATTGTGTTACTTATGTTGGTAAATATATGCAAATGAATTTAATTAATAATTAATAGTAATTTTATTAATGTTCTTATTGATTTAATAAAATTTTATAACATTTTATATTAATTTTAGGTGACAAAGATAGTCGTATTGTAATTCGAGAGAATGAATTGTCATTTGAAGAGGGTGCTGTTCGTGGAGGTCGAGCATCAAAGATTCGATCGAATCAAATTAAATTTAATGTACTCCTTACAAGTTATGAACTGATTTCAATTGATTCTGCATGTTTAGGATCAATAGATTGGGCCGTGTTAGTAGTAGACGAAGCGCATAGGCTCAAATCTAACCAATCAAAGTTTTTTAGATTATTAGCATCTTACAATATTGCATATAAATTATTATTAACTGGAACTCCTTTACAAAACAATCTGGAAGAATTGTTCCATCTATTGAATTTTCTATGTCGTGATAAATTTAATGATTTAGCTGCGTTTCAAAATGAATTCGCTGATATTTCGAAAGAAGAACAAGTAAAGAAATTACATGAATTACTTGGGCCACATATGTTAAGAAGATTAAAGGCTGATGTGCTAAAGGTATTTAGTATATTATTATAAAAATTTGATATATCATTTATACTAATTTCTTTTTTTATTTATAGAATATGCCAAGTAAATCGGAATTCATTGTCCGCGTCGAATTATCTCCTATGCAAAAGAAATATTATAAATATATATTAACAAGAAATTTCGAGGCATTAAATCCTAAAGGAGGAGGTCAACAAGTATCGTTATTGAATATTATGATGGATTTAAAAAAATGTTGCAATCATCCTTACTTATTCCCAGCTGCATCTCAAGAAGCACCAACCGCACCAAATGGAAGTTACGAAACATCTGCATTAATTAAAGCAGCAGGAAAACTTGTTCTATTGAGTAAAATGTTAAAGAAATTAAGAGATGACGGACATAGAGTATTAATCTTTTCTCAAATGACAAAAATGTTGGATATTCTCGAAGATTATTTAGAAGGAGAAGGTTATAAATATGAAAGAATAGATGGTAATATTACTGGCGCTCAACGACAAGAAGCTATCGATAGATTTAATGCACCTGGTATGTAAATAGTTTTATTATTTATTACAGAAAGAAAATTAATAACTTTATTTTTGATAGGTGCACAACAATTTGTGTTTCTTCTTTCTACTCGTGCCGGTGGTTTGGGTATAAACTTGGCTACCGCTGACACTGTAATTATTTATGATTCTGATTGGAATCCTCATAACGATATTCAAGCATTCAGTAGAGCTCATAGAATTGGCCAAGCTAACAAAGTCATGATCTATAGATTCGTAACTCGTAATTCTGTCGAGGAACGAGTTACACAAGTGGCAAAACGTAAAATGATGTTAACGCATTTAGTCGTAAGACCTGGCATGGGCGGAAAAGGTGCTAATTTCAGTAAACAAGAACTTGATGACATTTTACGATTTGGTAAATTTTATTATAATATTTAAATGTAATAAAAAAATAGAATTTGAATATGGAAATTTATAATAATTCTCTTTTATATTAGGTACTGAGGAATTGTTTAAAGAGGAAGAAGGTAAAGAAGATGAAGCTATTCATTATGATGATAAAGCTGTGGCTGAATTATTAGATAGAAGCAAGGAAGGTATTGAGCAAAAAGAAAATTGGGCTAATGAATATTTAAGTTCATTCAAAGTAGCATCATATGTAACAAAAGAAGGCGAAACAGAAGAAGAAGCTGATACTGAAATTATCAAACAGGAAGCTGAGAATACTGATCCAGCATATTGGATCAAATTATTAAGACATCATTACGAACAACAACAGGAAGATATAGCCAGAACACTTGGAAAAGGTTAATTATTATACAAATATATATTATCATATAAATTAATTATAATTTATATAATATAAATTATACATGATTACAATTAATAATATAATTAATAATAAATTAATTATAATTAATATATTTAATTATTTTTAGGTAAACGAATACGTAAACAAGTAAACTATAATGATGGAGGAGTAACTGGAGATCAAAGTACAAGGGACGATCAACCTTGGCAGGAAAATCTTTCCGATTATAATAGCGATTTCAGTGCTCCTAGTGATGATGATAAAGAAGATGACGATTTTGATGAAAAGGGTGATGGAGATTTATTATCTCGAAGAAGTAGAAGAAGATTAGAAAGGAGAGACGAAAAAGATCGACCTCTACCTCCATTACTTGCTAGAGTTAATGGAAATATTGAAGTATGCTCTTTTTTTTCTTTTTTTTTTTTCTTACATTTTTTTTTTATATTTAAAAATTAATATAGAAGAAATGTGATTGCTTAATTCAGGTATTGGGCTTCAATGCTAGGCAGAGAAAAGCATTTCTAAATGCGATTATGCGTTACGGTATGCCACCACAAGACGCATTTAATTCTCAGTGGTTAGTTATTCGTTCGAGATATAATCCAAAATCAGAAAATTTAAAGTACTGTTAAAGTATATTATCGCATTTTAGGTTGGTGCGAGATTTAAGAGGCAAATCGGAAAAAAATTTCAAAGCATATGTTTCTCTTTTTATGCGGCATCTCTGTGAACCTGGTGCAGATAATGCCGAAACGTTTGCAGACGGTGTGCCAAGAGAAGGTCTCAGTAGACAGCATGTTCTAACAAGAATTGGTGTAATGTCTTTGATAAGAAAAAAGGTAAAATTCTTTAGCAATTAATTTTTTATTTCTTTTTAATTATTTTTATTATTTAATAGGTACAAGAATTTGAACACATTAATGGATATTATTCAATGCCTGAAATGATACGAAAACCAGTAGAACCTGTAAAAGTAGATGGTAGTGGAGATGGAGCAACTGGAACTAGTAGTACTAGTGCAACACCAGCTACTTCTAATGCTGCTAGTCCAAGTCCTGCTGCGACTCCAA